ACAGGAACAGCATCACTATTTGGCGTTTCTGCTTTATGCTCGTACATTCATTACACCAGTTTTATTTATACATTTACACCCTGTACGCAGCAGGTACTGATGATTCACACTCCTAACGCTCTGTTTGTATTTACAGCTAAAGGATGAAACAAAGAATGCTGTATGATGTGTTCTTCGGTATTTGTAGTAGTGTTCTGATCCAGAATCTCGGTCTTAACATTTCATGATTATTACAGAATGTCAAAGTTAAAACCTCTCCCCGTATCTTATGGGGAGAGAAAGAAACAGAATCCATCCTGAACAAAAGTCCATGCCAAAAGTAATCAAACATTGACAAGGCTGTCGATAGCTCGCTCTCTTGAAAGTTGTTTAAAAGAAGGCTGATAGCAAGATTGACTCTCTAGACATGCTGTAGTACCAATTTACCATCGAAATGACTGTTTTCGATGATACCATGCGCGACGGAATCATATGACCGTATATGCCAGTTCTCTTTCAGGATTTGTCAGATGGAATCAGCACCTTATCACTGGCTGGAAGCAGGAACAACGGCTTAGTCAGTTTAGCAAAAGCAACTAGTTTGCCGGAAAATTCAGCAACTCCGAAGCAAAATGACTCAGCGAGTTGTAACTCGAGAAGAACATCCAAGGTAAATCGAAAATAATGACAAATTTCTTGGAATTTTTGTTAAAATGGCGATCTAGTATCAATATCTTTGTCAAAATGTAACTCGTGCTTGCACAACTCTAAATATTACTTAGTTCGTAATATTTAAAGTTGTGGAAGCACGAGAAGTCACGAAGTCTTACGTGGGCATCCCTCTCTCTGTTAAGTCTAAAAGATGCTGCGCTATATTCCACATATCAGAGCTTGGGGGTAAAAGCATACAGCAGGACCAAGAGTACCAAAATTGCTCGTTACTAATAGTACTGGGATGCAAACTGGCCTAGATATGCCAAGCCCATTGATCCTGAAGTGTTCACAGTTTATTCTACATATGCATGCGCCATCTCTTAGGAAGACATCCGGTTGGTCGTTTACTTTCTTGCGAGCATTGCTTAACTAATGAACAACGTTCGCCGGTTGTCGATAAGGCGAGCAAAATACCTTGCTTGTCGGATTTTACTTTCTCATCTGGTGGCAACGACATTCTACATACAGACCATTTAGCGCAACATGAATAAGC